TATGTATTTATATATATATTTATATTTATGTGTGTGTATGTCAGCACACAGTGCAGTCTGCCGTAGTCCTGATTTGATTATAGTACGACAATCACTCTCAGGGTGACATCTAGTCCTTATACGACAATCTCACTCAGGGCTTCATCTGATTTATATCTGACCACAATACGACAATCACACTCAGGGCTTCGTCTGATTTACATATAACCACAATACGTCAATCTCACCCAGGGCTTCATCTGATTTACATATAACCGCAATACGACAATCTCACTCAGAGCTTCATCTGATTTACATCTAACCGCAATACGACAATCACACTCGGGGCTTCATCTGATTTACATCTAACCACAATACGACAATCTCACTCAGGGCTTCATCTAGTGCCCATAGAGGACTGCCGGCATCAATGTACGAGGAGTCACTCAGGAATAACTCGCCGTCAGGACACCAATCGCTACAGCCGACACATTATCTGACACTACAAGGTAAGACACCCGTAATACAGAGTGTCGAACAAGACAAGAGAACGCGTACGACACATCAAAGCACGTTACAACGCAGGACTCGTAGACGACACACTATTTGATGCTGTCTTATCAGCAATGTGTGCTATGTAATTCCTTTTGTAGTACACGGGACCGTGGGATACTGTCTATCATTGCTATACAGCTCCATTGATATGCAGCTCAGGTGTACGACATATCATCGCGCACTACAAGTCAACCCCAGCGTTTATAGTATATGACCTGATAGTACATGGGGTGGTGAGCGTGTACCATGGTGACTCTAGAGCTGATGAGTATAAGATAGCATAGACACAGACATGTACGTGTAGGACAACGGAAGATACCACTGAGGCTGACGATTGTATCACTCTGTCATCACAGTCGTAAGAGCCAAGCATTGATTCACATACAATGATCAAGCGTAAGTATGTGTACTTGCGCACGTATACGTATATACACATCACATTGCACGGGGCTACCTATATCCAGCACAACTGACTACTACGCAACGTCTTATCAGCAAGAGTAAACACGTGTACTTGCGCACATATACGTATGTACACATCACATTGCACGGGGCTACCTATATCATGTAGGGTGATACATAGCCTCGAGCATATCGGACGACTACGCTGCGTCTCATCAACAAGCGTAAACACGTGTACTTGCGCACGAATACGTATGTACACATCACATTGCACTGGGCTACCTATATCATGTAGAGTGATACATAGTCTCGAGCATATAGGACGACTACGCTTCGTCTCATCAGCTGAGGAGGTTCTTTTGGCTGGGTGCGGGAGGCATTCTATACAGTCCGAAAGGGTTGATGTGTTAGACAAACGTTTATTTCAACTGGGGAGTGATATATATCTCCATATGTCGATATATTCCCACACATCGCCGCAGACTATGCCTTGTGTTTGTCGTACTTTATCATCGCACGTACTCAATACCCAAACGCCTTGCCCGGTACGCAGTTAAGCAAGTACTTGACCTCAGCATACGAGAAGGCAAGTCCCGGTCGTCGCAGACACTGCTAGATCCCGAGGAGATTGTAGCGTATGTGAAGTTAGGCGACCATGCTGTGACGGTGGTGGGAGTTTTTCCTACCATCAGCAGTGAAAATATCCATAGGTAAGGACAAATCTGGTTCGGTCCAATATATTCGGGTTCAGGTTTTGGGTTTGCCCTGGGGTTTTGCTTGCGAAATTTACTATACATGTTCAGATGCACCTGATTGGTTGTGTGATGTAGTCGGTAGCTATACCATTCGCTGGTAGATATCTCCGATTCGACTTGCACATTTACCCGGGCTTCTCTTTTTATCTAGGTTTGTCTTTGTTTGTGCTTATTTGTTTTGTCTGTGTGATGGGTTTACCTGGGCTTCTCTTTTTATCTACACTTGTCCTTGTTTGTG